TTATGCCCACTGCCCATAATTCAATTTTTTTTTCTTCAAATGATTTATCTTTTGATACAAACGGGTTTTTATAGGATTTTTATTGATCTTATAATATTATGAAATGCATCCATCTGTTCGTATTTCTCAGAAGGCTTACATTAATCTTCGGCAAAGATTCATCATAATTCTCAAGATAGAGTTACTTTGCCCGTGGTCTTGTTCAATTAGTTTGTCTTGTTTTTACCTTTTCTCTTCTGTACAATGCGCTGGGGCGAGAGATTGATAGCGCAGACCGCAGGGGTAAAGACAATGATATAAAATATGAAAATATCAAAGTGTTAGTTCTCTAGAAAAAAATAGTTTGCCGCTGGTCTTTTATTACTTCTTATCTTCTTCTTTTATATCACGTGATAAGAAGAGATTGGTATATATAGTGAACGAGAAAAACACAACAAAACGAGCCGATCTGAAAATATCCAGGTGTTGATTCTCTAGAAAGGAATAGATGTTGCTGGTCTGGTATACTGTTTCATGTCTTTCTCTCACAGATCACAGACTGCAAGGCTCTAGAGAGATATTGACACTGGTGAATGGGGGAGGGGGCAGGGATCATATCTGAAAAATATTACAGTTTTTTTGTTTCAATTCCAAAATAAGAACGCATAAACTTTGATCTTTACTGTAAGCTTGAAGAACTTTATTGAGTCGAAGGTGACGGGGTCGTAATTGAGAAGCATGGAGGCATAACAAGTGTTAAGTTATCTGCGGAGACCCCTACCACCCCCCCCCCCCCCAACCCCTAACCCTGCAAAAACACTAGATGCACAGGGAAAGAAAAATGGTTGCTAGCGAGTAGCGAGGCTGGGAAGCGGAGAGGGGTGGGGAGCAGAAAGGGAAGACTGAGAGTGAATTAAAGAATGCCGGAGAGGGGTGGGGAGGGTCACGAGAGAGAGTAGAAAGAGAAAGAGAGAGAGAGAGAGAGAGAGAGAGAGGAAGAGAGAGAGAGAGAGAGAGAGAGAGAGAGAGAGAGAGAGAATGGGGCTATAATATTATGGGGCGTGGGGAGTTTTTGAGTGAATTGGGCAGGCGAGAGTCAGAGGGTAGAGATAATAGGGTGAGCAGAGAGATAGAGAGGGGAGTTGGGAGCAAGAGAGAAGGTGTATGACAAGGGCAGAGAAGGAAAACAAAGAAAGAAGTATATATGGGAGCTTTTTTGCATTTCAGTCCCAGTTAGGAAAATGTAATTAACGAAGAAGAGGAAAAGAACAGACGGAAAAAGACAGGGGATGGATAAAAAAATGGAGAATACAAATTATAAATAGAGGGCCTAAAGGAAATTATTAGGTACGTGGCGCCAGAAAAGAGCCTCATAAAATCAATTATCTTTTACGTAATTGATTCTCACCAGACAAAAACAAAATTAAAAAAGACACAAGAACGGTTTAAGTGATTCAGCTGAACCATTTCATGCCATCTTCCATTACGGTTTTGAGGAAAGTCGTGAATATTGTAAACGACTGTCGTATCATGGTCGTATCATCCGTTTGTCTCGGTCATTAAATGAGACTTACCGGGGTTAAGATTACCCCGTAGACGAGTGTACTCCGGCTAATATTCTTTTAAGAGGCCTTGAGTCAGAAACTCATTTGAATAAAATATTGGTACTTACAATTTTGAAAAATAAATCAAGGCTTACTAACTGTGTTTCATACTTTTGATCAGCTACTGTGAATATCATAATGACGACAATGACGGCGAGTTTTACTACCAACACTACTACTACTTCTGATGATGACGAGAAGTGATAATGATAACAATGATAGTAATAAGAAGAAGAAGAAGAAGGAGGAGGAGGAGGAGGAGGAGGAGGAGGAGGAGGAGGAGAAGAAGAAGAAGAAGAAGAAGAAAAAGAAGAAGAAGAAGAAGAAGAAGAAGAAGAAGAAGAAGAAGAAGAAGAAGAAGAGGAAGAAATGATTATAGATATTGACTTACATAGCATTGATTAATAGGTTTCAATGCGTCATACAGATCTGATTACCCTGCTCATATTTCGTCCATGTATACAGTGTGTGCCACATTTCCACTATCCATTATTGCTACCACTATGGTCCTGTTGAGTGCATGCGGTCACAATGTCTTTGATCGTATTACCAAATCTCTATTATTCTATCCTGGGCTTGAAGTTCCAAATGTAAATAAATGATTAATGCCGTGCCGGGGCTCGGACCCTAAACCTTTGTATCTCCATCCAAGTGAGCAAACCACTCGACTTCGATCCTTCCATTTACATAATGTTATGTACATATTTATAATTCCATCCAACATGTCCAAGGCGAGGATGTAAATTCGTCGGGAGGGGGGGGGGGAGCAAACCATCAATACAATATCCTTATTTAATGCAGTAATGTGGCGTAAAAAGCGACAGCGCTCCAAAATTGCAACATCTAGACTTCTGATTAAAAATACGCACCAAGACCGACAAACCGTAGCAAGGGGTTTTCGTAAAAAGTATGAAATATTTACTTCTTAAATTAGTCAGAGACGAAATTGCTAATGCGATCGCTTTCGCAGCCACGACCTAACCACCCTGGTATTCATTTTCCCATGTCGGGAGTTATTTGCATTGGATCCTGGCAAATTTGCAGATCGGGAGTGCCCCATCAAGTAGTATACAGACGGCTAGAGGTTCTCGAGTTACACCACTCGATGAGGATGAAAAAGATGATATGAAGGAGAAGGAGAAGAGGGAAAATGATATAAAGAAAAGTATACATTCATTTTATTTTGAAAAGAGAGCGCCGGGAAGTGTGTGGAAGAGCCACAGGCAAGAGCGATCAATTTTCATGCCGAGGTTGGAGGGCGGTTAGCGAGTTTGTCGCCTTAGCCGAGCTTGAGAGGGGGGCGAGAGAGAGAGAGAGAGAGAGAGAGAGAGAGAGAGAGAGAGAGAGAGAGAGAGAGGAAGAGAGAGAGGGAGGGAGAGAGGGAGGGGGAGAGAGAGAGAGAGAGAGAGAGTGGGAGAGAGAGAAGAGATAGGAAAGAATGGGAGAGAGAGGACGCGAGAGTGTGAGATAGAGGTAGAGATTGAGGGGAGATAGGTACAGGTAGCAGGAAAAGATGAAGATAGTGTAAAAAGAACCTTAATTTGCTTGCTTTCTCTCTCTCTATCTGTCTCTCATATTTTCCCACCCCTTCTCTCTCTCTTATTTATCCACCCCAACTATCTCTCTTATTTATCTATCCATCTCTCTCTTATTTGTCCACTCTCTCTCTCTCTCTCTCACACACACACACCCTCCCGCGCTATCGATTCTCTCTCATTTCACGTTCCATTCTTCAAATCATAGAAAAAATTACCAACCACACACAAGTTTGATTTATTTATGATCGAACACGATCGCAACAATTTCCGAAAAATCCACTCAAGTTCAATTTCAATACCCTATTTTACATCCCTCAGAAATCATGTTCGGATTACGTAATAAGTCATTGTCATGTTCGCACATTTTCAATAGGTGATGCACAAGGCTACTGAAATTGTCTTAGGTTGATAGTCTGAAGTAGTTGCGATCGTAGTTGATGATTTTTAATAATAAATTATCATATTATCTATACATGATTTGCAATACTTTACATTCATATTTCAAATTCAACATACATTGTATATATTATATATATTATCTGATCAACAATGTATTCACATCCTTCACTAAAAAAAGCATTATCACCCTTAATCTTCCTGGTACTAAGAAGAGCTTTGTATCAGTACAATAATTAATTAATACATTGAATATTCAGGTAAACTATAGCTTTGGTTATACTCATTTGGGAATGCATATTAACATTTAGGAAAATATCGGTTAAATTAATTTCAAAACGAATATGTAGTAGAGGTAAGTAGTAGAGGTAATAACATACATTTTGAGAGGTGGTTTAATACACAAATAATGGAAGGAAGATGAGGAAGAGGAGAAGAAGTAGGAGGGGGAGGAGGAGGAGGGGGAGAAGCAGAAGAAGAAGAAGAAGAAGAACAAGAACAAGAAGAAAAAGAAAAGAAGAACAAGAAGAAAAAAGAAGACAACAATAATATTTCAACTTTGCAATGAGTGGAGTACTAATCCATTAACTAGAATAACAATTGTTGTATGAGTAAAACTAAGGATGGATGTAATAAAGTGAAATGTATGTGTTACAAAGTAGTTGCAAAAAAATTCTTTGGGAGGCAGGCATGGTGGCCCAGTTCTATATTTATTTATTTATTTATTTATTTTATTTTATTTTTTATTTTATTTTATTTATTTATTTATTTATTTTTTTTTTTTGGGGGGGGGGGGGGGGGTGGGATTAAAGAGCAATGTATAAGATCAAAAGAAACGATTCTCATGTTTTAAACGATGCAGCATACGCATTGAGTTCCACCTTCCCATGATTAATCACATCACATACTCAAATTTTCTGTACAAAACCAATTGCACATATCAATAATTTTATGCATATATGTAACTGAATGATAACTTATCCGTTTGAAGCCAGAGAAGAGCAATAGATTTGTAAATTACAGCATAAAACTAATGCTCTTTTGGCTCTGAACATACATTTTTTTCGACATGCTATTAAATTCAATGCAATAAAATGTTCCTAAAGAGACTACACACATACAAATACATCACTTGCGATACATCTGCATGATCCATGACAAAAAATCAAAGGCAGAAGAAATACAATGCCTCAATGTTTTTCCTGTAATCAAATGATTTGCAACAGTTTTGCTTCATTACTTACAAGATTTTCATTTTATCTCCAGAATCTCAATAGATATTCTTAGTTTGTTCTATGAATAGAAGCAGTGATACAGCATGACCAGAATTGGTCTTAGTCTTGGTAATAGGTAGGTAGGTAGGTAGGTAGAACCAACCATGGAATCTACAATGATAAATGAACATGATTACAATTTCTCCTTTATGCCTTGGTCTCGGGACCACATGTCTAGCTAGACTACAAACACTGAAAACATAGACATAGATAAAGATTTTTTAAAGTTTGTAGCATAAGAATTCCCATCCATGGCAAATGATGTCTTTGGTAGGAGGTAAAATCATCAATTTTTATTTAAATACAAACAGTCTGCTGGAATTCAAAAGGGACTTGAATAAAATTCTTTATCAAAAAGTTTTAACCCTTCAGGTTCTCAACAGATGAAATTATCTGTCCATCCATTCATTCATCCATTCATCCATCCGTTCATCCATTCATCCAACAATGCTTTGGCAGTCATTTAATTATTGCATTACACAAGCATAATCATGGTATCATGCCAATCTTCATAGACTACTCTGGCTTCAAGATCAAAGATCAGATAATTCTCAAAATGTCCCATTCATTATAAATGCATGTATGCAACTTGAAGTATAGTACCACTAACTACAAAATGTTTTGCTCAATATTCCATGATACATTCACTGAAATCACAATGGCACAGACAATAGTCATCATTTCAAAATAGAATTGTACAATGCAGTACATACTTCATGTTGTTGATACACAGTCATTATTGGTCATGAACAAGATTTTCGTTATATATATATATATATATATATATATATCTTTAAGTAATGGAATTGTAAAAAACTACTCAAATATATATTTTTTTCTTTTGTTGCTTAAACTACACTTAAAGAAACAAACAAGGAAGCAGACAGATCTCTTTTGAGAAGCACTTAAAAGATATAAAGGGACAATTAAACCTTTTGTATGAAACATTTCTTTCTTCATCTTTGAGTGATCAACATATAAGATAGCTCTACACAATCTGTAAGATATAACGTCAACGATAAAAACCACTTATAAACTGGCACCATAATATTGTCATATGAGAGGTATGTATTCCAAATAAATGCCTATTAAATTTCATCAAATGGCATTTTAATTATGTAAGACATACAAATATATATGTCTATTAAGGATAAAAGAGATGAGGTGGACAGAAGCTTAGATGGATCGCCAGAATAAGAGAGTAAACAGCAGGTCAATCACTCATCTCAGCCTATTGAATGGCTCAAGAGAGAATACTCTGAAGAACCATCATCAACAGGGTCACAAAGGGTCAGTCATGACTCATAGGATCACAAGAAATATTAACTTGACAGAGTAGAGGCTTAAAGCTTGCCCGTACGTACGATAAAAGAAAAGCCTGGCTTTCAAGTAAAGCAATATTTTGTCATTGTCAGTTATAAAAACACATCTTTTTCTATTTGCCATCACATGATATCATGGATTGCCAATTTGAAATATACTCCCTGTATTATCAGGGATTACTGTAATAACAATATATTTCAGAATGAAATGGCTATCAACGCCATGAATTCAATACCATATGTGAATCGTCCCTCAAAATCAAACTATGCAATTGTTGCTTACTGTCTGTGGGGAAGCCCATTTTAGCTGCTAAGAATACATCTTCTTGGTTTACAGCTTGGAATTTGCTATGTTCTCCCGCAGGAATGGTCCAATGTACTTGTAAGCATCAGGAACCTGTGTGTGATAAATATGGATATGAGATAATACACTTGTAAATTCTTAAGAAATTTCATAGGGCATGCTGCCGAAGCCTTCAAGAAAGTTTAGAGATTACGTTCTGAGGGGTTCATACATAAACAAGAATATGCACTCGCTTTCTTAGGTGTCTCACCTCAAACTTGAAATGAGCTAGGGTAAAGCATCAGTTATTCTTGAAAGCTACACAATCACAAAATGAAAAATTTAGCACGAAGTTAGAGGTTTAAACCTCAAATATTTCTTTAGGTATTGCATTAAGGAGAAAGCAGGACAGACAGACATCTACAAACATGAATCGGAGGAAAGAAAACAGCAAGTAAGATATTTCTTAGAGAATGGTAAAACTAGACCAAATGTTTTGTGCAAAAATCTCCAGTACATGTAGGAAAACAAAATCTTTCAATGACTTCATTTGCACATACTTACTTACAAGATCGAAAGATTTGTCTAATGTGATTCCAATACTGAAATTTTCCTACTACTGGCCCTTATTATGCAATTGATCTTTTTCTTTAAATGGGAATAAGAGAGCATGTGTACCGTCTGATGTTTAGAAGAAACTTATTACATGGAAAAACCTTAGTATTAATCCAAGCAAAATACAGCAATGATGAAGGCTATACAATCTGATAATTTTGTCAAATTGCTAACACATCATCAATATAACTACACTCAAACCTGTCTATAGCGACCGCCCAAGGGAAACACAAAAAGTGGTCTTTGTAGACAGGTGGTCTATGTAGACAGGTGATCACTAAAGCAGGTTTGACTGTATTAACAAGCTCACCTCTTTCTTGTTTAGGGGAGAACTCTTGGCCCACTCGTAGAGGTTCTCATAGACGTTGCCGTCATAGCGTCCAAGCACTGAGCTAAGCATCTTATCAGGAACATCAAAGGCATCCACCAGGGTCACAGCGATGGGTCGGATCACCGCTAGCAGGTCTATCAGCTGACGCTCCAACATGTTCAGTTGCTCACCATTCATATAACCATCCTGACATGAGAAATAGATCAACAATTACTGGCAAAAATACTGCAAAGTTTCATAGCATTTGAAAATTGAATGTACCTGTGACATGCACATAAACATCAACTCTTCTTTATTTCCCTTTCTGGCCTGTAGCCAGATTTTCTAATTTTATCGTTTTTTTCTTTTCTTTTTTTCTGAAACCTTCAGAGAGGGGAGAGAGGAGGGACATACTTCAGTGAAAATATGTCCTTTTTCTTTCTCTCCTCCCTCCCTCTCTCTCTCTCTCTCTCTCTCTCTCTCCATTTCTATATCCCATGTTTTTATCACTCCTATTGCCTCCTTTTGTACATAGTCTCTTCTCCCCACCCTTTTTATGATTCAGTTAGACCATGTTTATAGTCGTTTGTTTTAGCACTCGAGCACTTTTGACGAACATTTCTTGTTATCATTTTCTACTTTATTATATAACCAGGCTGGTTGTTTTTTATATGATATTGCTTTGAGGGACCTGACTTTTACAAGCTTTTCTTAAGGTCTCCTCCTCTTTCTATTTCACTAAAATGCAGTATATGAACTTGTTACTTACAATGTATCATTGTTCCTTTTATGTACTCTGTCACATGATATAAATTTGTTAAAATGTATTGCATTCATGTTGGAAGAAAGACAAAAAAACTTGAACTCTTTATTCACTGCCGTACTAAAACACTTGCTACTACATTCTTTTGGGGCATTAATGCTCCTTACACATTGTACATGTGACAAAAGTTGACTGTGGCAATCCACTGGTATACAATAAGTTGAACTAAGTGGACAAAGAGTTTTTAGACCCCTTCACAATGGGCGATGGGACAGACCATCTATTGCAAATCTTTCAACAAACACTCTAGTCCAATTGGTCATTCGCTCAAAAAAAAGAAACATGCTGCTGTTATGGAAAACCAGCAGCAGCAGCACAGGTATAGAATAATTTACATTGTACATGAATGCATGTTCTTAAGGAGAATAGCATCTGCTTTTCACAATGGCGGCTCATATTATGTTTTAAACTTTCAACAAATTAAAAACTTTTTCATTCTTCGATTTTTCACCACCTTTCACTGAAACGTTTATCTGACTTCTCTACTTCTACTCAAGCAAACTCTCTCTGAGAATGGTTACATCCTTAAAATTATAATAATAATAATAATAATCTGGATTTATATAGTGCTTCATACGAAATACCGTCTCTAAGGCCTTTACATATATCATCACCCGAGTATTCCTACCATATGGTCACCGTGAGAAATGGAAATTACTAACACAAAGGGTTTTATCATCCTACCACGTCCCCATTTCTTTCTTGGGTATGGAGTGGCAAATGTAGATTAGTGCTTTGCCAAAAGATATTAGTGCCGTGTCGGGAATCGAACCCACGGCCTTTGCATTTTAAGTGAAGTGCTTAAACCACTCGACTACGACACCTTTACTCATAAATACAGATAAATGTAGACTATCAAATATGGTTGCTATGCCTACCTGTAGCAGATCTCCTTTGTTTTGGCTGATCCCGAAGATGGCATAGAACTGGCATAGTGTCATGAGAGCATCCAACGCTGGCTGTGAAGTTTCACTGGTGTTGACCCCATCAAAGAAGCTCTCCACACAGTACAGGTGGCAATGGGCCTGTTGGTTACAATCAACAGAATTTGAAAGTGATTACTGAAATACTTTGGTGTAGAGACATAGAGGCCTGGGCCCGTATTCAATTCAATGGTTAAGTACAAAATTTAAGCTTTTTACTTAGTATTTGGCTTAGATAAAATACTTAGCCAACTTTGGTATTCAATTCAAACTTTTGGCTAAGTGTTTTACCCTAAATTTAAGACAGCTCCCTACCAGACTTAAGCCAATTATTTGGAGGCCTTGATTGGCAGGCATACGGTTTTCTTACGCAGTATTATAACCTGCGCACAATTATATTAGCGCGCTTTTATTGCGACATGTTAATTGAGCATTACTTTTGATTGACCGTGTCAGCAAATAGTTTACTTAGATTTTGTCTCAGGTAAGTAAAAGTCTAAAATGCTATTTTGAATATGAGATAAGTAAATTTCTTAGCTTAGCCATTTACTTAGTCAATTTCTTACCTAGTCTTAGTATTGAATTGAATACCGGCCCTGGGCCCCATGTTATAAAGATTAATCTTATTAATAGCAACTTTTTTTTGTGATTGATATCGATTGCAACTATGTACTATAATAGGAGATAGGAGACTGGAAACTTGCAATTGATTGGAGGAATTTTGATTGATTTGGACCAATCACAACTCTTGATAAGACAGGCCCTGGTCATATCTAAACAATACTAATAGCACTCCTAATAATATGGGATATTTTCATAACACACATATCCACTAAGCAAGGTGCTCTGGCATTACCCCGTGTGCTATGCTACCCATTCCATAGAGCTCACAACATTTAAGGAGTTTCTTCTCAAGATTTCATCCCTTCTACTAACAAAATTAAAAGCCAAATTGATATTTTAAGTATTTCCGAGTTCTGGTCAGAATTTCAAACTGAAATTTGAATTGAAATTTACGAGACCTTTTGATGCAGTGCCGTAACTGCGAAGCAAAGGCAAACACTGGTGCTATACAAGAGGCCCTCATCATTATCATGATCACCATCAAATGAAAATCTATGAAATGAAATGGTCCAATCCAAGTAAAGGTAAACAATGAACTGTCTTTACCATTGCAGCCTTGACAAGATACATATGGCAATTATTCCAAGCGATGGGTTGAGAATGACCCTTCTTAAGCTCTTCGCCGAGTCTTCTTGCTGCTAACATCACGACACTGAAAAGAAAATACAAAGAAACATTCAAGCCCATCTGTACTAGTTTACAGGAGGGATTAGACCACCCTGCCAGGTCACTGACAGGTGGTTATCTCATCAAATCAGCTCTCACTTAACATAAGAAAAAGAGGATCATGGGGGACCAATGCAGGGCGCGACAAACCCGCTTGCCCGACGTCCCGGGGCAACCAAATTGAGCCGTCGGGCAAGTAAATCAAATTATCACTTGCCCGATTCGGGCAAGTGATACTTTTACAGTAATTTCCTAGTGTCCAAGAACTCTACCATTCACCCGTCAACTTCTTACCCGTCGTCAAAATCCAGAAGCAAAAAAGCGATCGTTCCGATTTCGAAAAAACTTCACAGACAGCTAGCCAGCTCAGCTAGCTCAGCGCGCATGCAACAGTGACACTTCAAGCCATGAATGCCGCTCCGCCTCCACGCACGGCCGGCCGTGAGCTAGCTAGAGACAGCTAGCGCGATCGTACCAGCTGCGAGCTTATTCGCGCTCTCTCTCTCTAGCTCTGCAGGCCGCACCGACAGGCCTTTGCTATTCTCTGATTGCCGATTGGTTGAATCACGCCAAATATGACGTCATTATTCTAGGGAAATGAACACGTGCGAATCGGAATGGAATAAACAACAGGGATTTTCTAGTAAGTACAAAAAGTCAAATGTTTGATATTTATTCATGTGGCTACCATTAATGACATGTTTGTATCATATTTTTTACAACAGGGTCATTATGCTTTTTTACATGACTGAATATTAAAAACTTAAACCTGCTTGAACCATTCTACCTTGCCGAGATTCATGTGAATCTGATTATTTATGGAGAATCAATAAAATGCGTTTTTTAAACCTTCAACCATCCTTTGTTGACCATTTTCTTTGACATATTAGGTTATTATTCAGTACAGTTACACTGTACATGTATGTGCATTAATTTGCTATCTAAAACACTAACATTACGAGATAATAAATGCTTTAACCTCGAGTCCTTTTTCGCTTTAAAGTTTTGGGCAAGTGGAAATATTGTTTGGGCAAGTAAATTGAAAACCCACTTGCCCGACAGGGCAAGTGGTGAAAAAAATTCTTGTAGCACCCTGCAATGGTCACCGATTATGCACTGTTTGCTATATAGAGGGCGTAAGTAGCTATAAGTAGTGCTGTGGGGCTTTAATGGTTGTAGATCCTCAATGTTCTAAATGCACAGAATGGGTGATTTTAATTCTTTGGTTTAAAGGAACATATATTACTAAAAATAAGTTTCACTTTATGTTTTGGAATCCATGTTAGTATGTCATTTGTATAATATCAGTTAAAAGCAACATGTGGGTATACAACTTGATGCATATAAATGACCTGCGTGCACAGGGCATTACATTTAATTAACGTCTTGGCCCTGTGTGTGTAGCTAGCCATCAAGATGTCCTGTCTAGTTAAAGGAAGGACATATGTCTCTTAGTCAAGTTCAGTAGGTCTATCTGTAGGTAAACAGCACAACCCGATCCTCACGTGTATCTCTTTCACTACAAACTACTCAATTAACTAGCCTTTTGGCCCTATGTTTGTAGGCTTGCACCTAGATGTCCTGCCTGAGGAAATTAATCTGTCTCTAAATAAAGAATCTAGATGGAAGGTTGGCCTACAGTTAGTAGAAGACAGCTCACTTAATGACCACATACATGTACACCTCATGTTCTAACTTCTTGGCCCTTTGTTTGTAGGCATCCACCAAGATGTCTTGTCTGAGAAAATCAATCTGCCTCTTCTCTAAGGAAGGTTGGCTTACAGTTAGTAGAAGACAGCTCACTTAATGACCACATACATGTACACCTTATGTTCTAACTTCTTGGCCCTATGTTTGTAGGCATCCACCAAGATGTCTTGTCTGAGAAAATCAATCTGCCTCTTATCTAAGGAAGGTTGGCTTACAGTTAGTAGACAGCTCACTCAAAGACCACATACATGTACACCTTATGTTCTTACCTCTTGGTCCTATGTTTGTAGGCATCCACCAAGATGTCCTGTCTCAGGAAATCAATCTGTCTCTGAACCAAGCATCGAGGTGGAAGGTTGGCCTACAGCTAGTAGACAGCTCACCCAAAGACATAGGTTGATGGCCACATACATGTACACCTTATGTTCTTACCTCTTGGCCCTATGTTTGTAGTCATCCACCAAGATGTCCTGTCTCAGGAAATCAATATGTCTCTGAACCAAGCATTGAGGTGGAAAGTTGGCCTACAGTTAGTAGACAGCTCACTCAATGACCACATACATGTACACCTTATGTTCTTACCTCTTGGCCCTATGTTTGTAGGCATCCACCAAGATGTCCTGTCTGAGGAAATCAATCTGTCTCTTAGCCAAGCATCGAGGTGGTAGATCTGCCTGGAGGTAAGCAGCACAACCCACCAGCTTATCTTTTGACCCAGCCTGTCTGGCCACCTTCATCAGGTACCTGCAGGATACAAAATCAAAGGCGATTACTCAAAACCATTCATTGTAGAGGTGTGGTGGTCAAGTGGATATGTCATTGGACTGTGGATCACAAGGTCCACAGTTCAAGTCCCGCCGCAATACTAATGTCCTTTGGCAAGACATTGATCTACATTTGCCACTCTCCACCCAGGTATTAAATGGGTACCCGGTAGGATGTGAACGTTAATGTGGTTGGATTAACAAGTGGTGCTTGTAAAATGGCTGGAATGCTCCCCAGGGAGTGGAAAATATAATAATTGATTATTATTACTCTAAAGTTAGTTATTTTTAACTTGTTTGATCAGTTTGGCAAACTATAATAAGCGAGTTTGTAATTAGGATTTGTGCAAATAAAGGTCATTCGTTCGTTCCCCGGACGATTGTAAAACCATCGTGCTCATGAAAGTTATGTAATTAGTATTCATTTATGTACCGACAGTACATTTATCTGATACACAGCTGGAAGTATTCTTCTCAAGAGGGCAAACAAAAGGTATTTATGAAGCACTTCCATCACTTCGACAGTGATTATTCTAAAATGCACAAGTGGGACGTATCCATAGTGTAAAAGATCTGTGAATATTTGGGGTCATGCATTCCGAAGCTATTTACGAACTGGCTTATTGCATGGGTTGTATGAGATATAGAGATACACATTTACTTTCTGAAGAACTACACTTCGAAGGAATAAAATACACAAATTCTGATGTGTTTCATGGACAACCGGTCCATTCCATCAATACACGTGAATGAAGTCCAACCTATGATTTCACTCCGATAAAAGGACTTGGACAACAACAAAAATCACCTGGCTGTCTGCAGGAACATAACAGTGTTCTCTCCCTCATAGGTACTGGCTGGGGCCGCCGTGCCGTAGAGCTCTGGGAAGCCGCTGGCCTTGGAGTAGCCATGGCCACCACAGGACGTCCGGAGCTCCTCCAGGCCACTGGCCATCACAGAGGATGTGAAAGCCTTCAGTCCCGCTGAGGTGGCATGCAACTATCAGAACAAAAGAGAATTTGAAAGTCATTGGATATTATTGGTAAGTATTTAGATGACGAGAGTGGTTATAAAAATCAATACCGATACAAATCACCCATATATAAATATAATAATAACAATTAGATCAATTCATATAGCACAGCTGCTAAATAAATATACTCTACTGCGCTGTGATGAAAACAAAAACTCCTAACAGTGCGACTTTACAGACAGACAATAACAAATAAAAACTATTCAGAAGCTCCTCACAAGAAGTGCGTCTTTAACAAAACTTTGAAAACAGCACAGATGGGGCTTTTCTTATGTCTAGTGGTAGATTATTCCATAGCTTTGAAGCAGTGCAACTAAAAGCACAATCTCCAAGAGTTACTTTTGTTTTCATGTGAGGTACTGTGTCTACATATCACAGGATATAGCAGGCCTTCAGCCCTGCCGAGGTGGCATGGAGCTATCAAAACAAAGACAAGATTGGAATTAGAAAGCCCAAGTACAGTACCTATTCATTAATTCATTCATTTAGTCTCCAGGCAAAAAAAATAAAAGTATAAACATAAACAGGGGAAACAAGAAACACCAACGACTAATGCCAATAATAACCAAGATGAGGCTACTTCTTGTTTGAGTGGTTTTCCTCACTAGTCAATGATTTTAAAATATATATATGCAGATACATACAAAATATAAAGCATTTCAGTTTATGTTAACAGTTGAAGATAATCATGAATAGCAGTCATATAATGCTAATAGTTTTTATAATAGAAATTATATACCTCATTTTAAGATTCTTTACTAATCCTGTCTTCTGATTGGTTGAAAATGCAGTCATGTTCTTAACCATGCCCGCTAATTGAAATTCATAGTCATTTTTCCCGGCTCTACCGGTTTATATCCATTTTTCATAGCACTTTTTCCATGGCTGTGAAACGTGACGTCATTTTGCTGCGATCCCCATTTTGGTTTACGTGTTACCGTATAAGTTTCTTTTGTGCGATGACCGATGCGCAATACCGTTAACGGTGTTTGAGTGCAATTCGATTTTGGTCGCTGCATTCAGGCGACGAATCTACCAATCCACGCAGCGCAGACGACCGATCGCCATTTTGTGTACTAGCTTGTTGGTGATATCATCCTGTACAAAAGTTACTGTTCGTGTAAACGTGTTTGGTATTCCCTGTTCTACTGGAGCACAGCTTGTTGGATTTCATACTGTACACAAGTTATTGTTGGTGTTAATATTCATGACTTCAAAGAGATGGAAACCTAAATGGGTGAGTCAACATTTTCCTTTTTTTCGGTATATAAAATATATATTGACTGCTTTTAATATTCGAGGCATAGTTGTTTCTATAGGGTCTCGGGAAACTCACAACCTGCTATGACCCCGCGGCGCAAGCGCCTTGGGGTCATAGCAGGTTGTGAGTTTCCCTTGACCCTATAGAAACCACTATGCCTCTCAAAGCAGTCAATATATCCTTAGTATTGTCTGATAGTCCCCATGAAAAAACCTATGATACCCACCTCTGGTAGGGAGCTATAGTTTCCCTCATCCATCTCGGCCAGGCTCTCAAAGTAATGCTTCATCATCTCGCGTCCAGTGAAGATGAAGGCAAAGGCCGTGGCAAGGTTGGGGAAGATCTTCAGTTGCTGGCTCTGGTAGTCCAGGATCTTGGCTTCTTTGGTTCTTCACATGAAATTAGAACCACAAATCAATTGAAAATTAACCCATTGATTACTACAGCAAGATATTGCTTTGGCTAGGGTTTATTAACAATATGTTGAGAGTCCAGTGACACAAAGATATTACTCCATATTTTGCCAAAATGAGTATTTAATATCAACATGTTCAGAAAAATGTGGGCATTCCAGGAAACACAAAGACTTAACTTAACCCAACATCCCATTGAAGTCAATGGCTAGTGAAACATAGACTTATTCCGTAAGGCCCGAGCGCTCAGTGACACAACCCACTTTTTCTCAAAATGGCCAAAATGGAGTTACGTCTTTGTGTCACTGAACTCTCGATGTGTTGTACTAAAACAAATTGTATTTATAAGCAATGTGTCACACTTAAATCAATCAGATCAACATGCCCTGAAATTAATTAGTGGTATCAAATTTTGCTTGTCCTACCTTATGCAGGGGGATCAGAGTAAAAAGCGTCTTTAATTTTCTTCTCTATCCAAAAGATGAATATTAGCACACTGTATATGTTTCTAATCCCCACTCCTGCTATTATTACATAAAGCCATAGTTTGAATTGTTGAAGTATTTTAAATTTTGTTGAAATCCCTGCTCCAGGAACAAAGTCCCCCATCAGAAATATGTTGCAATATATATGTTTGATTACACATGACAACCCTAGCATATAGCTGATGCAAAAGAAGCCCATAAGAGGAACTATTTCAATCTCCATGCATTGACCTATGTTCTCAAGTGGTTGCATGTCACAGCTTTCTCTCTAAACTAGTTATGGGTGTGGAATCAAATATTCAATTCAATTTCAGCCAATCATTAAAAACAATTTACAATGACACTGGTACTGGTACAATTATAACATGATGACAGGCTATGGACCCCTGAGAAGCAGAGCTTGTAAATGGGGCACATTAACATACAATTAAATACAAATATAATAAAAACTTACTATAACATACAAAACAAACTAGATGGAACTTTGACTGCGCGCAGTCAAAAATGATGCCTCCGCCATAGAGCAATTTTACAAACCAAAACAGAAACAATTTTTAAATTCAAGTTTGATTGTAATCCATCTGTGGGTTTTAATGATAATGCATGCACAAGCTATTTTTGGCATACATAATGAGCCATGTGACCTTTGACCTTCGACCTGGTGACCCCAAAATCTAATCAGTTCATTGGCTCTGCAAGATACATACATGACTTGAGTTTGATAGTAATCTGTCTATTTGATCTCATGATAATGCGATCACAAGCTATTGTTGGATACATAAAGACCCCTGTGACCTTTGACCTGGTGACCCCAAAATCGAATCATTTCATTGGCTCTGCAAGATACATACATGACCTGAGTTTGGCAGGAATCCATCAATCGGTTTTTGAGATAATGCGATCACAAGCTATTTTGCATACATAATGAGCCCTGTGACCTTTGACCTTCGACCTTGTGACCCCAAAATCTAATCAGTTCATTGGCTCTGCAAGATACATCCATGACTTAAGTTTGGCAGGAATCCATTAATCAGTTCTTGAGATAACGCGATCACGAGCCATTTTCGCATACATAATGAGCCCTGTGACCTTTGACCTTGGATCTCGTGACCCCAAAATCTAATCAGTTCATTGGCTCTGTGAGATACATACATGACTCAAGTTTGGCAGGAATCCATAAATCGGTTCTTGAGATAACGCGATCACGAGCCATTTTCGCATAAATAATGAGCCCTGTGACCTTTGACCTTGGATCTCGTGACCCCAAAATCTAATCAGTTCATTGGCTCTGTGAGATACATACATGACCCAAGTTTGGCGGGAATCAACCAATCGGTTCTTGAGATAACGCGATCACGAGAACGGGACGTACGGACGGACGGACGTATGGACGGACGGACAACCCAAAAACATAATGCCTCCGGCTACTTTGTAGCGGAGGCATAAAAAGAGATATAATATATATATTCATACTTATTACAAAACAATTACAAATATCTTGCAAACACACTCAGCCATACTCACTCACTCACACACAATGCAATGTACTTTAAAGCATATCATAAGAGAGAAAGAAAGTGAGAGAAAGAGAGAGAGACAGAGACAGAGAGTAGAATATTAACAAGAAAAAGGAAGAAGAGGAAGCACATGAAAAAATTCGAAATATGAGACTAAAACTTATAGTCCTATCCAGTTTTACAAATTAATAAATAGTTCCCTATTGAGTGTAGACAGGGTCTCTCCTGACCACAGAAAATCGTGCCTTACCCAGGAATGAGTTCAGACTGTCGCCTCACAACGCTGTACCTCGTCGCTATGGTGGAACCCTTGGACAAGTACCAACCTGTGTTGCCCACGATCCCACTGCGAATTGGCAACATGCTGCCGTAGCTGATCTTCTTGTGAGGCGGAGGCACATACGTACCATCTGGCATGACCTGTTTTAATGAGAGAAGGTTGAGGTCAGGATGGTGTTTCACAAAGATTCTAAGTCGAACTTAACTCTAAGTTAGACTTAAAAATTATGGAGAGCCATTTGTAGCCTTAGAATAAAATATATTCAAAAGTAAAAATTGAAGTATTTTAGACTTTACATAAATTTCACATCAAGAACATGAAATCTCCCATGATAAAAGCAAATATGAATGATTTGAATCAACATTTTATGCCTTTTGAAATAACTTTTACAAAATATTTTCAAAGATGCTAACGGCTTTCCATAATTTTTAAGTCCAACTTAGAGGTAATTTCAACTTAGGATCTTTGTGAAACACCCCTAAGGTCTGGTTATTAAAGGTGTACAATATTTTGTGAGGTTTCTAATCCCTTCTATGTTAGTGTGTAAGAATATCATAGTAGGAATGACCCCTGAAATGGATTGCTCTAGAAATGCCCCAATATTCAATACAATGATTAGAAGTTGCTGAAAAGTGTGAATCAAATGTTCATGCCACATGTGTGTGTAGTCCCGTATAACCATCTCCATGTGCAGAGGATGTGAATTGCAGTAAAAATGAGTTAATTTCTTCAATTGTGATCATTCAAAACCTCATATCAATTCTTATGTACTACACAAACAACATGTCCCAATAGCTTTCAGACAGTTATCACATGACCATTACCAGGGGGCGTTTCACAAAGCTTGTCATCAGTGACAAATGACAGTTTTTGTTATAAGCTACTGAAATCCTTGCTTCTGATTGGTATCAACAGATTTGTCACAGATTTTTATCATTTGTCATTGAATAAAGGCTTTGTGAAATGGGTCCCAGATCTGCTATTCAACTTAAGTTAAGAATGAGAGGAAGTTTATAAGTTATAACCAACTACAAGATGATGGGAAAAATTGCCAACATGTATCAATATAAGATAGGGCGACAAGCTCTGTCAACCGTTCAGTAAAACAGCCAAGCAACAAGCTAAGAAAGTAGAGAAAGTGGGCTGGTGGGCAATCAATGGTCCAACACATATATCTTGATGTATTTCTGCTTAGAGCAAGAAGAGCTTGAACGTATATGTTTTTGCATGGAGTTAAAGCCCTTTAGACTCTCAAGAGATAGATGATATTCTTCACGACTGTGTTTGTATCGTAGTTACCAGTTTGCAGGTCTTAGCAACCCATCTCACTTTGAAATAAACTAACGAGGCATTATACACTTAGACTGCACAGAGTGAAGATGTACAAAAAGCAGTCTTGACCAATATGTATCACACAATACATGTGAAGAGCAGATCACATGTTGGTGTATTTTGTTTTAATATGCAATTTAATTTAATTTAATTTGCAAAATGTATCTAAATAGACAAAATAAACACAATGAGAATGATGAAAGGTCAAGGTCAAATGTCAGGGGTCAAAGGTCTTACCTTTGAATGTCTCATGCACATGTTCTCTATGGGGATACGATAGTGGTTGAAACGCAGGAAGCCATTGTCAATGTTGTTATAGCCGAGCTTTGGTCCGATGTCTCCCAGTTCAACACCTAATGATATCATCAACAAACAAATTAAAGGAACACAATGAATTATAAATTGAGTTGCTAAAATCATTACTTTCATTCTTACATTTCAGAAAAAATAGTTTATTTCAATACTGCAAAAAGTGAAAATGAAATCAATAATTATCATTAAACCAGCTCTCTCTCAGTTGAGAGCATAAATATGAAACTACCCTCCTCTATTCTCATGTCAACGTTCCTTGTAATTTTTCTTGACTCAAAACTAAAATCATACTTCAATCATACTTCAATCTGTCACATGCTCCAGCGACAACTGCTTCTACGATCACTTTTTAACTTCTTAACTTCAACTCTGGAACCAACACCATACCTAACCCTAAACCTAACCTAAAACCCAATCTCAACCAAACCCTAACCTTGCATCTTTAAAAAGAAAATAAGGTTGTAGCAATTGTTGCCAGCAAGGAGATGTGACCAGAGCATATGTTGGGCCTTACCAGGATGAGGAAGGTGGGTCTCTAGACTGCGTAGCGGCACCATGAACATGTGAACTCCCATGCGGCTACCTTTGGTGTAGAGCTGGGCAGCTACGATGGCGTGAGTAGCTGTCTTACCCACTGTAGTGAGGAGATAAATGGAATGATAGTGGTGGTTATTTTACCCAACAGCTAAGAAAGCAATATAGGCTTCTTAGTAAGCAACCAGAAGACCAACGGCTTTAGGTCCTCTCAGAGGGACCTGGTAATGAGGATTAATGCCTTACCAAAGGGCACTAGCACATTGACTTGGTTTCGAACCCGGGTCATGGGATTACGAGACCACTGCTCTACCGACTGCCTGGAAGGGTGTGTAGATGAGTAAAAGAGTTAATTGCTTTGATTGCTACAGTCAGACAGTTATGTTTAGCCTAGCTATAAGAGTCACACAAGACCAATTGCCTATTTATATTAAGAATATTTAGAATGGGCAGCTACGATGGCGTGAATAGCTGTCTTTACCTGTTTATGAAAGCGTATGTTAAAGAAAAAAATGTATGTCATACTTGTGATAAAAATTTATGAACTATATCAGTCAAATTTAAAAACAGTTCCCTGACCCAAGTGTTTTACATGCACGAAATCATTAAAGCAAAAAAGTCAAAGCCACTTTGGTGTAGCGCAAGCCACAAAAACAAAGAGTTATCTTTTCTCCAGGTACATGTATGAGCAGGTGGGTGCTACCAGTGACACGTACAACCATGTACATGGAAATGTATACGTGTACAAGTACCAGTACCTACACACATGCACTCGCACACATCTGCAAGAATCTTCAGCAGTGAAGGAGGCAGATTATTTTGAAGAAGCAGAAGAAGAAGAAGAGATATGTATCTTGCATTTTCTGATTCTTCTCTCTTGTTTTTCTCTTTATATAAAAAAATCTGCATGCATGCCGGTACATGTATCTTGGTTAAACTATTCCTTACACATTACATTAAGTATGGCATGAAACAAGAAGAAAGAGAGGGAAGAGGAGATACACTGTTTTAAGAGGGACAGAGGAGGAATACAGGGACAGAGACAAATAGAGATATAGAGAGGAAGAGAGAAGGGGAAGAGGAAAATGGGAGGAAAAGGGGAGGGAGGATGGAGAAAAGAAGAAAGGAGGGAGAGGAAGAGAGAGAGAGAGATAAGAAGAGAGTAAAAGAGCAAGACAGAAAGAGAGGGGAAAGGAATAGTAATTGATACATCTGTAGATCAGATAGGAAGAGAGTAGGAGAGCAAAATAGGAAGAAAAGGGAGAGGAAGAGAAAGAGAGAGCAGAAGTGAGGAGAAAGAAAGAATGAAAGAGAGAATGAAAGAGAGAGACGAAAGAGAGGGGATGGAAATAAATAAGGAAAAGGGAATGTTAGAGAGAGAGAGAGAGAGAGAGAGAGATAGATGGAATCACTTACAGTTCCCAGGCCACCATTTCATGGAGGTGAGGGTAGGTGAATGGATCTCAAACTCTTGAGTCGTTGGGTCATAAGTGGCTGTTGTCTCGAGTCCACGCAAAAAGGTTCCTAGTGCAAATCAGAGAAAGTGGAGAACTGGATGAAACTAGAGCACATACACAGGGTGACGGAAGCACAAATAAACTCTCTCCCTCAATATTTTAAATGCTAATGAACAGTTTTCATGGGTCATTTCAAGAGGGCCCAATCTTAATCATGCATTAGCTCTATCATATGGACTTATGGATATCAAGTAAAGAAAATGTTCAGTCGTGTGGGCATAATAAGCTCCAGTTATCAAACTAAAGGGAAATCAATGTTATTTGAGTCTAAAAAAAGGTTCATCTCAAGTTAAACTACAAGAATCTTTCAAAATGTGCACATATCAAATAAAATTATTGGTACTTTCTCTTCCTAAAAATATCAAATAATTTCTCTTTATAAAATTCTATTTCTAAAGCAGATATAAGGTAGTGTGTAATTTTAAAAATTTCACCTCATCAAACAACTTGCTAGTGTCAAAGTCTAAATGTATCTTAAAATGTATGTATTAAAAATAAAATGAACATGAACATGTATGATGAAAAGAATGAAGTTAGTAACTGTATACTAAGACAGCACAATGATTAGAAGAACACAACATGCAGTGCAGTGGTGGATAGAGAAGGGTTGTGAAAATGAACTGAATACATGAACAGTGTGAATCTATTCTGCAAATACAGTAAACTCAAGCCAAAGTGAAGCAAAGCTTATACAATGCAATTAAGCAAGCATTTTTAAATTTTTATATTTTGGGGGGAGTTAGGGGGGGGGGGAGGCAAGAAAAATTGTGCACACTTTTGCATGGGGTTCAAATTCGCAAATGTTTGACGAAGTCTTATCATATAACTGAATCAGAACATAACATTTCAGGATTTTCAGCTATAATTTATGAACGTATATTTCTCATGACAAAAACGACTCTAAATATCAGTGTTTGAATGTTTCATGTCCAGAAAATTCTAATCTTACATGTTAGAAATAGATTCAAGAAGAGTTTGTATTGTAAACATGTACAGTGGGCCTATACATCTTACACAAAGGCTTTTATTACCGCATAGAACTTTGCACTTTCTCATAGATTGCCCGTACAAAGTATCATGAAATTGATCCAATGTTTGCACACATCTTCAGAGATCCTGAACCACATATCAAGATACTAGATAGATAAGGGTCACCGTAATCTACTTAAACAGGCCAAGTGAACCTTATTTCAATAAAGGAAAATCGTACTCGAGGTGACTTGGCATAAACTATTGGTATTGTAACCAGCAACTTCGATCAAATGAATCATTTTTTTAGTAATATAACACACCAGAAACATTTGTAACGATAAGGAAAATTGGATAAGCAGATAAAATTTCAATAGAAATCAATGGAAGACATAAATAATGTACTTGAAAAGTCCTGAAATAGTTGCCCCATTTTACCCGTAAGATTTGACCCCACAAAGTTACTTAGATCATCCAACTCATTGACAAAAGGATGTCAGCCTGACTGTAGCTTCTTATTCTATTTCTGGCTCCTGGTGAAATTTCCCAAATTGCAAAGTTCGAACACCTTTAAACAACGGCTTTAACTTCTAGTCTGTTTATTCTATACGTCAAACATCTAGGCCAGCGCCAGCGGTTTGCTTGAACAAACAAATAGTAACACAGCATTAATATTCATTCAATATCATAATCAAGGTGACTAAATAACTGGATAAGGACTACCCAGTTATGCCTACAACAAATTAGTCTGAACTGAACAAATGTAATTTTATTTATTTACAAGGATGTTATAAAGTACCTGCATTATTGTTCTTCCCTTCTGTATTGTAAACAGCTGTACTGTTATTAAATATGTAATTAAAATGATTGTATTAATCAGAATATGCATCTGAATAATTCTCATTATCAACTTATAATATATATATTATTGAATTAGCATTTACCTTTCATAACATTTGGGCCAATATTAAAATATTGAATTTTTATACCAAAATAAGTATATATTTACAAGTCAACACCAAATTATACCACAAATAATTATGACCTGGCTTAAATGATCATATTTACACCAACTACTGTACATGTAACAACGCTATAATAACCTAGCAACAATAACATGCCATGCACAAAGAAGAACGAAAGAATTGATGCATGGCTGATCGTCAACGAAACTGAGTTAAGTCTTTTGTCAACTCTTCTGTTTGTTGCTACGGCTGGCAGCCAGTGATAAAAAATTTGTTTAATTAAATTATGGAAATGCAAGCATTATTTTAAACAAACAGTCCTTTGTTATTCCTGGCTCATTTTACCTGATTGAGGTGTCATATGAAAGGGCAGAAAATAAACTTTTTAGAAATGTGATTTTCTCTTTGAAATTCAGATACTCCCTGCCAAATGACTTTTTGGTACCCTCTCTTCAAATCGTTTTTAATCACTCATGCGTGATCGAAATATGCATCATATGAGTTGCATCAAATGAAAGAGGAGGATCTAATCTTTACAAATATGTGTCATTTATTAATTATAATTGTGATTAAGTTATGATAAAACATCAATAATTCTCGGTTTCATTTTGTTCTGGGGCGCACTGTACATGCAGCAGCACAGATGGTAACTTTGATAGTCATGCAAATATTTAACTTACCCACTGTTTGCATGCAATCCTAGGGATTTTCACAAATTTGACAGAAATGAATGTATGTCTTGACTGCTTTCTTGTCAGTAAAGCCAGGGAGGTGGAATGGATTCCACCTCCCTGGTACAGTCAAACCTGCTTTAGTGACCACCTGTCCACAAAGACCACATTTTTTTTTCTCTCGAAAATGGTTTCTTATTGAAACATGTACGGTACTAAAGGAACTCGTCTACAAAGACCACCTGTCTGCAAAAAAAACTTTTTGCGTTTCCCTTGGGTGGTCGCTACAGACAGGTTTGACTGTATATAACTTCTGATTCTACTTTCTTTGTTCTCTGTGTCAGGGCTTGGGCAGCAATAGGGTTCAGTATTTATGGCTAGGTAAAGTGATGGATCCCAAATTAAGAATTAAGACTAATCACTAATTTTTTACTTTAATGATAGAGCAATCATCGCCACAGCATATGTCGTACGTCACAAATTAAAGCCACTACCTTACAAGTCACAATAGAGTGATACCTGCATATGAAGACCACTTAAGGGAGACAAGCAAAAGTGGTCTTTATGTACAGGTTCTTTTACTGAGTAATACTTTTCAAGGGAAAAGAAAAAACGTGGTCTTTATAGAAAGGTGGTCTTTCTATACAGGCGGTCGCTAAGCGTAGGTTTGGCTGTACATGATTCTAGCTCTGCACAGGAGGGCTCTGCATCGTAAACATCTAGATCCAGATACAGACATCCCAATTTGCAGAGGCGATAACTGCTCTAGCAATTTGAGGTAACAAAAATTAAAGGATTGTGACCATGCAATGAAATTGTAGATGGATTTATGAGCGACTATTATTCACAATTAATGATTCAATAAAGCATAGGAAAGTAGGGTTAGTGTTAAAAGAGGAAGAGAGAGGTGAAGCCACAGAAAGGTCTGGAAATGTTTGTACCGTGGCCTAACTCTGTTTGGGCATAGGTTCCAAGAAGCGTGAAGCTGAAGGCTGCATCGAGCCATTTAACGTGCTGCTCATCACTCATTTGTGAGTAGATTGCATGAGAGAACATGGTGGGGTGGAGAAGGAGGGCTGCCTCTTCTACTTTATGTACGGCCCTGCAGATAAGAGACACAGAGAATCATGGCAGAGGAGTGGTTTAATGCAGTCAGTAAGGTTGCAGCTTTCAAACATGGTTAGGTTGGTCGTTGGATCAGCTTTCATGGTCTGCCTCTTCCACTCGACAACTGTATCCCACACTTGGAGTACTACCCCCAATCACCCCCATATTACGAAAAATACCCCAATTAATGCTTGCATGACCACATTGTCTTCAGTAGTTGTGTAAGGCGGGGGCGTTGTTCAGAAGTATTTGTATTAGGGGGTACCCGGTAGTCACCAAGGGTATAATTGTCGTTTCCTAGATAGTACATGTAGATGGAGTTGTCAGGGGTGGGGGTACATGTATTTTTGCTAGGGACTCGTCGTCCAGGGGTTTGTTGTCCAGGGATGGTTGTCTTAGGATCCTCAGATATAAAATTCCTGTACTGTCAGGCATATGAGCAAAGAGATTTCTCTGAAATTTCCAATAGATGCACAGTAAGAGGAAGAGAAGAGAATACATTTGGAGAATAAATAAATGTCAGTTGCATGTATGCGAATGAAGATTACTGATTTGAGTACACGGAAGATTAAAAAAACAGGCTATGCAGTTCTAAATAATTAGGAACGGTTATATTTTTTGTAAAACACACTTTTTTCAAAGACACAGGCCAAAGTTCTCTCAGATATAAAAATAATAATTAGTATAAAATAAGGAAGTATTCTGCAAAAGCTGGAGCTCAAGCTAAAATGAAATATAACAGAAATATAGAGAGTTATAAAAATGAATCCAAAAATGTTATGATGCTTTAGTCAAGTATAAGGACTTCAGTTTAAAAGCTTTCTAAAATTCATCATCGATGCACAATTTCGGAGATGAAAAACAAAACAATTGGGAGTATGCATTAAGGTACAAAATGATGATATGAATGATATGAATTCCCCAGTACCAGGCTAGCAGACCATTTTTTTTTTTTTTTTTTTTTTGGGGGGGGGGGGGGGGGAAATGCAGTGAACAAGAAAGACATGTATTGTGCTGGGTGTACCATGTCCTAGTTCAGTCTGGGCATAGGTTCCGAGGAGAGTGTAGTCTTTGGTGGCCCGCAGCCAGTATGCCTGCTGCTCCTCGGTCATCTGATGCATTACAGTATGTTGGAACATGCTAGCGTGGAGGCTAAGGGCGATCTCCTCACTACGATGGACGGCACTGCACAAGCCAGTCAGCCAGCCAGATGAGCGGGAGTAAATAATATCATATTAACTTTGGTATACTCATACTGAACAAATTCTTTTGCCCATGTCAACTACTTTTGCCCATGTTACAACAAGGATTTCTGTAACACTAGCAAGTAAAAGCTTCTAGCCCTCTACCACACATGATATGGTAAACTACCTAAAGAAGAAGAAAAAAGGGTCAGAGCTAAATCAAAATGACATGCCTACACTGTGTTTCAAATTGCTGTCTCTCAAATTTCAGTCACACCCCAGACCAACTCCACACACCTACTATAAACCGACCAATTCTTGGCCATTCAGGAGCAATGTAATATTTCGCTCAGACTGTTGTCAGTGTGATGTCAGTCTTATTGGTGTGACTAAGGTATTATGACACACAGATACATGTAAAAATATACTCTTTCATAGGGTCCCTTGCTCTATGCAGCTTTTGCTTTTTTTCACCTATACTTGCCATTCTTTTACAAAGAAAATGTTTTTTAGGGCTATGGCATTTGTTCTTTTTTTCTTCTTTCTACTTTTAGGCAGTTTACTACATCACATATGAATGAGGCTGGTCAGGGGAGGAATGATGTCCCTGCGCTCAATATACAGGTACTTGTGTTGTTAGTCTGGAGTTATGGGAATCGTCTCCTATAACCTCCAGAAGTAAAACTTCCACTCATGACGATGTTGGCAGAAGATCACGATGCACTTTTTTCTCATGACAATTTTGGGAGAAGATCGCGATGCACAGATTAAAATGTATTTTTATTCTTTCCTTTCCATGAATTAGTGTACCAACTCCAAAATCAATGCAAATGGCATAAATGAGAGCAAAGAAACCCATGCGACTTGCCAGATAGACAAAGGCATACCGTAAGGTTTTATCACTTTGTAACATTTGCAAAACTGGACAAACTGGCATTTTAATGACAATATTTAGGGTGCTTTCACGCGTAGCTTACAAATGAAAGCATCATTGTGTCATGCCTGTTCAAAAATATCAAATAAGAAGTTTACCTCCCTCGTGCAATACAGTCAAGATGCAATTAGAAACCCTTGGAAACCATGAAGAACCATGCATACATGACATGAACATGTACCAGACCTTGCCAAAGATGACTTTCATAATGCACAAAAGCGTTGAAGAAAGCAAGCGTGCCATTGTCACACTCGCTAATCAACATACGTTTAAAATTGATGTCGTATTGCATAGCAAAGCGTTTTGAGGGTTATCGGTCAGTATGAGAAGAAATGCGCAGTGTTTTGGTGTACATTAATCTGCAGAATACTACATGAAAATATATGCCTGAGATGACTGTGGATCAAACTATTAGTAACACATACAGTATGTATGATATAACTGGTTAATCCAATGAGATACAACAGGTTGCAGTTAAGGGATAATGCGTATGTACCATGGCCAAGCTCGGTTTGAGCGTACGTCCCAATACACTCAAAATTCTTGGCAGCAGGTTCCCATATTGACCTCTGCTCTTCGGTCATCTGGTTGGTAATAGTGTTCATGAACATGGATGCATGGAGACCCAGTGATAAAGGCTCTAATACGGTCATTGCTCTTTATGAGAAAAATAAAATATCAAATCATCAGCATACATGATGGTAATTTTTTATAACTTTTTTTTCGGTGAATATAACATTTGGGGTGCAAAGGTGCACCCCCCTCCAATGGGGATGGGTTCTATAGCGTCTATAGCAGGGTTTTTCAACCTTTTTTCATTCACTGCACCCTTTTCATTAATAAAAAGTTTCCCGCCACCCCAATGCCAAATTCATCACAGAATATTAATTGTGCATTACTCTGAAATCCATTGAGTTCCATGTTTCCGAACGAGCGAAGCGAATGAGCCCAAAAAAAGTGTAATCAACACAATTGATGCAGGCATTCCACCGCTAATATACATCAATGTGAGGATATTCGGGGCTTTCCAGGCATCTCTCATATATCTCAATAATGCAAGCCTGCGAAACGAGCATCAACGAAATGAGCTTTTTATCTTTAAAATACAATTTGAAATTGACAAATTAATGAAATTAGGTACTCTCACGATTTCTAATTTGTGGGGCTTTACAAAATCATCGTTAATCCAAAATAATTTTTGATGCAACCAAATCTCTCTCTGCACTCCTATAGATGTCTTGTGGCACCCTGGTTGAAAAACGCTGGTCTATAGAACTATGCCTGTATTCGCTCTGTTATGGCCAACAACAATTGCACGTATATTATTAGTTTGAAATACTGAAACAGCAACTTATGATAACTATTCTGAGCCCACCCCCCCCCCCCGCCTTTTTTTTTCTTCCTCTCCATCAATAATTTAGAATGATTCAAGAAGTCAGTGAATGATGTTTAAATCATTAAATTCTATTATACACCAAATCTACTTTCTCAACTCTGCAAAATGCAAAAGCTACATAATACTGCATTTCCCCCAATATACTGTAAAACAATTACCTTTCATTTGCATGGAACTTTGTGAATTTCTTCTTTGGTCAAGATTCACAAAAGTTTAATGCTGTGAGATTCACAGAGTCTAATACCTCAAAATGTATGAAATATAAATCACAACATTGAGTATTTACAATTTGACAATGTATCTTTCCACGAAAACAGCCGCCATATTCATCATTTGTGAAAGTTTCATGTCAGGCCACAATATTTACTGTGCACTTACACTCTAAACCAGTGGGACTCCATGTGGTTGGTGATTTCCATTTCCTGAAGCCTGCGTACCATGTGAAGAGATTTCCTCACACTGTTAGTGTGTCGCTGCTCGTCCGTCAAGAAGGCGATGTCCGCTGGATCGTCAAAGACAGGATCGTTCAAGGCCTCCGATTCTGTACCAAGAGAAAACAAAGATAGGCCAATGTAATTATTATAAGTGAAAACAAAATTATAGCATCTATTCTTCCCACTCGCATTCCACACACTATGCCATGGGGCAACTTTCAGTCTCTGTGTAGCTGTAGAGGCAGTCAGTGGAGCCAGGCATAGTCTCAGTGCAACAACCTTCAGTGAAAGGACTGAAGGTTTCAGTCAACGTCATTACAAACTCGTAGCTCGTGCACAGTTTTTCCTTCATAATCATTTTGCCTTGCGTGTAGACTAGAAGGGATGAAATTTAGATGACGTCATGCGACGATCCAACATGGATGAATTGTTGGGTAAGGATGAAGAAATCACCATTTTCCCCATCAAATTCAAAGACTTCTTCAAATTATAATTTCAAATGATGGGCGAGATGCCCAGAGTCGTCAAAAAACGTTGCAAGTCAAAATTGAAATTAGACCTACTACCTCTTGACATTGCGAAAAAAATGTGACCCACCCCGCTGTTTGAATCGTTTTCAAAATCTGGCCCTGGAGCTCCGACGCCTTCAGAAACGTGGTCAATGCTGACCACGCTGTGGGTCAGTTAGGTTATTTGTGCCTTCTATTTAATAAGTAAGTAAGTATATGGACTCTACATTGAGGGTATTGAAGTATTCTAGTGAGTAGACTAGACTATTTGCATAAAAATAGAATTGGCAGTTCCCGCGGACCAGCCGCACAACGTCAACAGAGTCTAGAGTCTAGCCTAGGATCTAAATACTTCAAAAAGGATTAGAAAATTGACACGAAACAGTTAAAAAAAAAAAAACATAACGACTGTTAAATCATGACCATTATTAGACCAATTGAAGAAGATTTAGTTCATTTTTGGTATGTTTTAGTAGGGTATCTCCACGCCGGAGCTACGGCTCAAAATGTATACGAAAGTACCGGTACACTAGCGTCGCAAAGTCAAAGACAATGTCAAAGTCATCGAGACGAGAGCGAGAGAGTTGGCACAATGCACAACGTCGAAGAGTCGGTTGGACTCACCTAAAAATCGACGCCTTTCTGTTTTTTCTTTCCCTCCATCAATAACGTAGGTCAGTTCTATTGGATCAAATTTGGCATTTTCCCTCTCTTCTGCAATATCAGGATTGATATTTTCGGTGGGGGGAGATCTTGCATTTCTTTTGCCATCTCTGACACTGAGGTTCGCCATTTTTGTAGAGGGGGCGTGATCGCGATATACCGGCCGGCTGCCCTGGGCGATCGATCACATTACATCACGTGGTAGGCCAAGGTTGCATAATAGGACATAAACAAGGAAAATCCGGGGGGAAATCAAAATTTACTTTTGAAATAACAAATCATGAATATTATTTGCGTCATTTTTTTTCTCATGAAAGAGAAGAAAACATTTAAAAAGATGTCCTTCGGGTAGGCTACATACGTGTACCCGCGTGTACCCCAACTGAGTGGGGGGGGGGGGGGGGGGGTGGGTATAAGCTCCAAAGCTTTATTCACCAATTAGTTGCGATCATACCTTTTTTATACGCTCACATGGATATATATTAAATCACCCTAACCCTAATTCTAATATCCTAACCACAAACCCTTATTCTAACCCTAACCTGCAAAAACGTTTTTGCAGCGGGCCGAGTTGAATTCCATGGTCCGAGTTGTATATAGCCCGACTCCGATGAATATCATCCAATAGGCCATTTTCGTAATGTTACCAAATTTAATGCATGAGTCTTTGTAAAGTGCCTCAATACAAATTATTTCATTCACCTGGGAGGAATAATGGTATTTCAATAGTCAGAATGCAACTGCATACAGGCGCGGATCCAGGATTTTCCAATAGGGGGGGCCGGAAATTCGAAATTCGCGCAGACCGTTATTTAAACTTACCAATACTGACAAGGTCATATTAGAAGCACTGTACTTTAATAGTGTACTGGTACCTACAAGCGGGCACAATTATTTTGGAAAGGGGACATGCTCACGTCACATCTCTTGTCCGATATCAACATTCCCCGTTTTCAAGTTATGCTCGCGCGCAATTTTTTTGACATTTCCATCAGTGGGGGCTGAAGCCTCTTGCCCCAATATCTATTTCCTGGTTTAATAATTTGGCGAGTGAGCGGAAATTTGAGCTTATGTATGTTGTGAAAAGTGTTAATTGTCACCAAAATAAACGAGATAAGATATAACAAATGCATATTGGTAATTTTTAAATTTTCGGGGAAAGAGAGGCTGCAACCCAATCCCGCATTAACTGCAGGTGTTTTGAAATCAAATCAGACTCCCCAAAAAAGTATTAACCAAAACGCACGAATCCTGTTTCAAAAATCCAAAAAAATGTCAGCTTCAGAGGGGGGCACATCACCCCTCAGACTCCCTCTAAAAGTATTAACCGAATCGCACGAATCCAGGTAAAAAAAAAATCAGCTTCAGAGCTAGAGAGGAACCCCCCCCCCCCCCCACACACACACACACACACACACACAGACACCCCCTGTGCACGCAAGCGTGAAATTAACGCTGGCGCTAATGCGTAAGCAGGGGCGGCGGAGCTATTTCCAAAGTGGAAAGCACCAACAAAAAAGGGCACCTACAAAGCGAAATCTCAAAGCGAAAATATACATTTTTTCATTGTGATGCCATTATCAGGGACGATTTCAATATTTGTTTTTCTTTATATATCATACAAGATATTGCTTAAGCATCACACTTTCGGCTGGGTGTGATTGTCTGAATATTCATTTGCGAGCGAGCAAAGCGAGCGAGAAAAAATTTAAGATCTGTGAGGTCGCAGAGTGAAAAATTACATCTTATAAAGAGGACAAAAACAAATCATGATGGGGTTATAAGCATCACGGAAGACTGAAAAAACATTTGTTTTAAAGTGACATATTGTATCATCTATAAATGCGAGCGAGCGACCTTTTTAGGGGAAATTACTCTTAGTCGCTTTAAATTAAGTGCAAGACTAATGATGAGCAGGTTAGGGGCACGTGCCCCCCCCCCCCCGTGCCTACGTGCGAAAGGGATAAAGACATTTATTAGAAAAGAAAAGGAGCATGTGTCAAGGTACAAAGAGTAATTATCAAAGGTTCAAACGGGGCACTTCTTACACCTGAAAGGAGGCACTCACCAGAAATGAGATAGGGCACTTATGACTATGGGAAATGGGCATTTGTTGACGGAAAAGGGGCATCCATCAGAAATTGATTTATCAGAGGTGAAAAGGGGCATTTATGAAAAGGGGATAGGTCCCTTATTAGAAAGGAAAAGGGGCACGATTCAAAATAAAAGGGCAGTTAGCAAAGGTGAAAATGGGCACCCATCATAGATGAAAGGAGTACTTATCAGGAGGGGAAGGGGTACTTTTCAAAGTAAAACGAGCATCTCTCATATTTGAATAGGGGCAATTATCGGAGGTGAAGAGCGCACTGAAGTAAAAAGAATTAACTTCTCATATATGAAAATGGTCATTTACCAGAGATGAAAAGGGACACTTTTTATTTATGAAGGGCCTCATTTTTCTAAATAGCCCTTATCAGATAGGAAAGGGGGCACATGTGTTGATGAAATGTGTGCTTATCCGAGTTAAAAAGGGAAAGGGGCACTTCTTTACAAAGTAAAAGTGGCCCTTTGGGGGGGGGGTACTTAAAGAGTGGGGCGAACTTTGCCCCCTACCCCTGCCACCCGACCCATCATCTGAAAATCCAAAATGATGTTGTAGGGGCCGGGCGCGGCGTTATCATGAGTGCTTTTATGTGAACTTCTTTTTTATAAATATATTGTGCTGGATTCCGACCCAGATTGCACACTCTAAAATGATAGTATGATCATCCCAATACGCTTGTAGTTCACGTATGCACCCCTTCCTCTTAATCCGTCGTTACCGTCACTGCCATTTACGTATGGCCGGCCGGCGTATTTTTTATTTACGAGGGGAATTTCTCGATTAATTCCAATGAAACCGCTTAAAATTCCAATGAAACCGCTCGCGAAGAGTCTAGCCTAGATCGGAGAGCTCGCTAGTGCTATACGCTAGTGTGAATTTACATCCAGGAGAAAGTTTGCTTAACTTTTTCTTGAAACACTTGAACGGTTATGGAAACTGTTTGTGTTTCTAATCTCCAAATATTAATATTATTCTGCATCAAATATAAAACATTGATTTCTACTGTGATATGTAAAGGCACGAACTTACGTTAATACATACCCAACCAAGAAGGTGCACCATGTTAATACATTTTAACAAACACATCAACATGTTACCTAGACAACTCATCACCATAGCCATTGTAAAACCATAATGATACATGTAAAATATAGATTGAAGCAATTCTCGTCAGTTGGCTGTATCCTGAGTGTGATTTATATAATGGATTTTGAGTAACATTTGCATCTACCTGTAGTTGAAGAATAGATACAGTGTATAACATCAATTAAGTTGGAGTTCAATTGGAAGGAAGTAACGAGGAATATTAAAGCAAGGGAGACTGGGAGATGAGGAATGCAGGAAGTTAGAAATTGAGAGATTACTCGCGAGATAGCCTTGCATTAATGAATCCTTTATATAGTGTTGTCTTGAGAGAAAGTAGACGATTTTTTTTTTAATATTGGAGATTAGTGCAAGTATTAGATATATTGGAAATAGAATTAATGAGAAAGTTATTTTTTATCAAGATCAATACATGGGGGGGGGGGCACCATCAAAATAGGGCACTTTCTGGAATAAGATGCACCTACAAAGGGAAACATCAAAATGTAAATCTACCATATTAAGACATTGATAGACGTACGCGTAACGCATGTCACACACAGAAAAATGAGAAGAAAAGAAAGAATAATGTGTTTTTTTTTAAAAGATAGAGGAAAAGGAGAGTGACAGAGAGAGGGAGAGAAAGAAAGAAAGAAAGAAAAAAAGGAAGAACATGAAACTTAACTTTACACTTAGGCCTACATATTACATTTCCGACTGAGTTGGCTCGACATGTGCTTAAGTAGTCTGCGCACGAAAGTACAACAATACGAAAACAGAAGTTATATGAAATTGTCTTTAAGAAAGAAAGAGATGTTAAATTCTAAAATGAAATGAAAGGGGTTATGTGACTCTCAAGGAGGAAATTACAATTTCTATCGCTCATGACGACTATTTGGAATTTCCTAAATTTGTTCAAGTTCAAGAACTTCCTGGGGCTCCGCCCCATGCAAGACTCCCGGCAACAGCAAATTATTTACACAATTTCTTGCTGTCTGCTGCCTCGAGATCACTGGAGCGAAGAAAGGTAACATATAGCAAGAATCCCTATTCAGTGAAGGATTTATCCCTTTTATTATTAAAGACTCCCGACAAAGGCTCTCCCCCTGTAAAATTGGAGAGAGTTTTATGTTTAAGCTTCTACCAACCACGCCCGTGGACCTTTTATTATTTACACAAAGGTAAAAGTGTATAGCAAGAATCCCTATTCAGTGAAGGATTCATCCTTTTTATGCAAATGCTTCTTCTACCATTCTTGACCAGAAGTGCGTTTCAAACTCAATGATATGGGCATCATCCCATTGAATGTTGTGTCCAGTGTTACGGGTTTGTTTTGCTACTTGCTGCCTAATCTGAGGGCTCTGTTGTGCTCTTTAAAAAGAGGACACAATAGGGGCAGCGCAATTTAAATATCAAGGAATGTATTAGAGTTTATTTCTAAAATGAAATGAAAGGGATATTTGACTTTCAAGAGCGACAAAAACTCTAATCCATCCCTTGACATTTAAATTGCACTGCCCCCATTCAGTGTCCTATTTTCAAAGAGAACAAAAAGGCTTCAGATTAAAGATTCCATCTCACAAAATTGTCTATAAGAGAGAAAGAGAGCCTTATTTCTGAAATGAAAGGGCTATTTGACTTTCAAGAGCGATAAAAAACTATAATCCATCCCTTGGAATTTAAATTGCACTGCCCCCATTCAGTGTGCCATTTTCAAAGAGCACAAAAAGGCTTCAGATTGAAGATTCCATCTCATAAAATTGTCTATAAGAGAGAAAGAGAGTTTATTTCGAGAGAAAAAATGAAATGAAAGGGCTATTTGACAAGAGCCCTTTCATTTCATTTTAGAAATAACCTCTCTTCTTCTCTTATAGACAATTTTCTCTCTTGAAAGTCAATAACACTTTCATTTCATTTTAGAAATAACCTCTTTTTTTCTCCTAAAGACAATTTCTCTCTTGAAAAGGCTCTGCCAGGCCCCTCAAGCTCTG